CAGAGATGGGAGTTCAAATCATTCCCAAAGGGGTAAAAGGACCTCTTCCCCAAGGAACAATAGGCTTATTATTGTGACGCAGTTCTTCTACTCTAAAAGGACTTATGATAAGTCCTGGGGTAATTGATCCCGATTATGAAGGTGAAATACAAATTATAGCCAGTTCTCCAAAGGGTATATCAATAATTTCACCAGGAGATAGAATAGCGCAGTTATTAATAATACCCCGCCTACATGATAAATTTTCCAGTAGTACTATAGAAAGAGGTTCCAGGGGATTAGGCTCCACAGGTGTAGATTGGGCTATGCTTTCTTTAAATTTAGATTCTTGCCCAATGCTAAAACTAAATATTTAAGGACATGAATTTAATGGGCTACTGGATACAGGTGCAGACCTTAACATCATATCTCGTCAAGAATGGCCAAAACATTGGCCATTACAACAAGCCACTCAAACGCTTCGAGGCCTAGGAGTGGCGACTAATCCCCATAGAAGTGCAATGGTATTAGGTTGGAAGGATCCTGAAGGATGTGAAGGAACTATACAGCCATATGTATTGGATCATCTTCCCGTAAATTTATGGGGACGAGATGTCCTAGATCAATTAGGTTTGACATTAACAAATAACATCAACCCAAATGTGCCCACTATTAGGGCTAGACAAGGTTTTAGGAAAGAAAAAAGATTAGGAGAACAAGAACAAGGTATAGCGGCACCAATTCAAATAGATCAAGAAATAGATAGACATGGATTGGGTTTTCAGGAGGTGTCACTGAGACTTATTTGGAAATCAGAAAGACCATTATGGGTTCCTCAGTGGTCCCTGATTAAAGAAAAGATACAAGCAGCCCATGACCTGGTCAAACAACAATTAGCGGAGGGACATATACAACCTTCCATATCTCCCCATAATACTCCCATTTTTGTCATTAAAAAGAAATCTGGCAAATGGAGATTATTGTAAGATTTAAGTGCCATTAATAATGAGATGGTTATTATGGGACCTGCTCAATCAGGGATTCCCCAATTGTCTGCTTTGCCAAAAACCTCGTATATTTTAGCTATAGATATTAAAGATTGTTTTTTTTTTTCAATTCCAATTCATCCTGAGGATAGTCCACGTTTTGCATTTACTATCCCTGCACTAAATCATGAAGGTCCTGATCAGAGATATGAATGGAAAGTACTCCCTCAAGGGATGGCTAACAGCCCCAAGTATGTGTCAAATTTATGTTAACAAAGCAATCCAGCCACTTAGAAATCAAAATCCTGAACTACAAATGTTTCACTATATGGATGATGTATTATTAGCACACAAAGATAAAAACACATTGCTAGAATGTTATGCCACACTTACAAATTTATTTAAAAATTATAATCTAGAGATAGCAATAGATAAAGTACAATTAAATTTTCCAATTAATTATTTAGTAGTTCTATTATCCTCAACCATGGTCTGTCCACCAAAAATTCAAATACGAGTAGATCAACTCAAATCACTTAATGACTTTCAGAAGTTATTAGGAGACATAAATTGGATAAGGCCTTATCTAGGCATACCAACAGGAGAGTTAGGACCTTTATTTGATATCCTGAAAGGTCCATCAGATCCAAAATCACCCCGCATGTTAACGCCTGAAGCAAGAAAGGCATTAAAAATCATTCATATATGGAAAATATGCATTTGGATAGAATTGATATAAGTTTGCTCTTATTATTTATTGTACTACCAACAAAAAATATTCCTACAGGAGTATTTTGGCGAAAGGTCCATTATTGTGGATACATTTATCTTATTCTCCTAACACTATTCTTACTAGGTATCCTGAGGCTGTGGGATAATTGATACTCAAAGGAATAAAAGCAGCAAAGAGAGTGTTTGGAATTTCTCCCAATAGAATTATTACTCCATATACTATGGATCAAATTGATGAGTTAGCTAATGAGTTAAATACTTGGGCAATAGTCATGTGCAAATCTAATATTTCATTTGATAATCACTTACCATCTAACCCTTTGTTGTCTTTTTGGTCGTCACATCCTGTAGTTTTTCCAAAAATGACAAGAAAAACACCTATCTTGAATGCTCCAAAAATATTCACTAATGGGTCAAATAATGGTACAGCAGCAGTAGTTACCCCTGATCAAACTTTTACATTTTTTAGTACCCAAACAATCAGCTCAAAAGGTAGAGCTTAATGCAGTATCACAAGCTTTTGTGATGTTTAAAGATTCTGTACTTAATTTATTTTCTGATAGTCAGTATATAGTTAATGCTATAGTATCCCTTGAAGATGCTGGTAGGATTTTCCCTTCCTCTACTGTATTCTCTTTGTTTTCCACTATACAAAGTCTAATCTGGGACAGAAAAGATCCATTCTTTATAGGACATATCAGGGCACATACAGGATTGCCTGGAGCCCTTAGTTTGGGCAATGATTTAGCAGATAAAACTACACATGACATACATATTTTCTCTACATTTGAAGAAGCTACAAATTTTCATAAAAGGTTTCATGTTAATGCTAATACTTTACAAAAGCGTTTTAAAATAACTAAGGAACAAGACAGACATATAATAAAACAATGTCAAAATTGTGTGACATTTTTACCACAAGTTAATCTTGGAGTCCATCCTAGAAGACTGATACCTAACCATATTTGGCAGATGGACGTCACATACTTGCCAGAATTTGGAAAATTAAAATATTTGCATGTTACAGTTGATCCTTCTTCTGGATTTTTGATGGGCTCCCTTCATGCCGGAGAAAAATCTAAAGATATTATAGCTCATTGCTTACAAAATTTTGCCACTGTGGGCATTCCAAAACAGTTAAAAACAGATAATGGCCCTGGCTATACTTCTACCTCTTTTAAGCAATTTTGCTCATCATTTGGCATTACTCACATAACAGGAATCCCATACAATCTACAGGGACAAGGCATAGTTGAAAGAGCTCATCAAACTATTAAAATGTACTTATTAAAGCAAAAAGAGTGAATTTGGAAGGGGTATATATCCCTCAAAGATAAACTTAAAATAACCCATTTTACTCTAAACTTTTTAAATTTGGATTCATCAGGGCTTAGTGCTGCAGAAAGGCATATGTGTCCAAAATATGTACATAAGCCTAAGGTACTTTGGAAGGATATTCTAATAGGACAATGGAAATGTCCTGACCCAGTGATTGTCTGGGGTCGGGGATCTGTTTGTGTGTTTCCACAGGGAGAACAGCAGTTGATTTGGATTCCAGAGAGACTAACGAAAGCGATTTCTACAGACCAAAAAGAGGATGATTTGGCTCAAATCCATAACAGCTGATATCCAGAACTCTGGTTTGGCTATCCTTACATCTGTGACAGTGGTTTTCCCACACCAGGAAGCTAATGAATAATGAACACCATTAAGGCCTATTTCAGATGTAAGAAACCTTGGGGCTTGCTTGTGGGAATACCTTCAGACCCATAGGCAAGTTACAGGAAAAAGGATGGGATATCAAAAGAAGAGTCAAACCCAGGTGGTAACCAGGGTGCTTTTTTCAATCTATTTTATTATTGCCCTTTCCCACATCTTGAAGTTTTATTTTGTTTTTTGAGCTCATATAGACCTAGGTTAATGTTTTTCTGATCAGTTTTATTTTTTGACTGTGGAGTTTTTAAACATTGCAATGGAGATTTCACCTGTGAAATGCTACAAGGCTTTTTCTATTATGTGTTGTATGTATTGTGTTATGTGTGCACACTTGTGTTATGTGTTGTTGTCTGTATGTGCGTATGCCCATATATCATATATGAGGAGCGCTCATGAAAAAATGGATCCAAATATTTTTTTTTATTCACTGATTTAAACGGTTTAATTTAAATTGGGTAAACAGCTGTTGAGGATTGTTTTAAAATGTGGTTAACAGATCTGTTTGTTTACTTTCACCTTTCCTTTTCATTATATCCAATTGTATTCAGGATACTAAATTGTTTAGAAAATTGCTTTTTTTTAGTGCCCGCTAGAATGTTACGTAATTTTTTCTTAGCCATCATTGCCAGAATTCCTATCTTCATCCCAGTGCCGGTGAAGACATCTTTTAGAGCATGACTTAAAACCAAACTATAGCTTCTGCGATAGCTATCACAATAAACTGTATAAACTGATACATCAGTGAACAATAACTTAAGAAGTGATGCTCAATCAAGGAGTCGATTTACTTTTGGAGGAAATGGATATATTAATGGATTCCTCAACTTTGAACTGCTTGCAGAACTTGCCTGGACTATGTATCACTTGTATGCATTGTGAACTATGTGTTGGTGTAGTGAATTGTGGTAGTGCCGGGGTATCTTTGCTGATGATGTCATCGGTGGTACAAGTTTTCTAAAACGGGCCGTCAATTGGCTTGGTGTCATGGCATTTTGTATCCTCCCCTTTCTGCTTGTAGCAGGTTGTTTATGGTGTTTGTGTAAAAACTACTATCCACAAGTATGGCTAAATGCTGGGCTGGTAGTCAGTGACGGGTTAGATCCAATTGCAGTGGTACCAACCTAAGACAGGAGGCTGACGCCTGAGGTCAGCTCATCCGATGATGGGTAAGGACCATATGTAGTATTGGACAACCTAAGACAGGCATGGTCCCTAAGCCACATACTTGTTGTTTCATTAAACAAAAGGGGGGAGATGTTGAGAGCCACGGCCAGGTCAAGATGGTGCCTGGCATTTTGCCAGAAGGGGCGGCTCCTGCTGCCTCGGGTGCCCACCACTTTTGAGTTCTCGTGGAGTTTTCGTTGAGTTCTCGTGGAGTTTTTGTTGAGTTCTCATGGAGTTCCCGTTGAGTCTCGCGGAGTTTTTGTTGAGTTCTCATGGAGTTCCCGTTGAGTCTCGAGTGGAGTTCGCGGGGGTTCGGGAATAAAGTTCGTTCCTGCTTGAATCTACAAGTGGTTCGTGACCTCCTGGTTGTTTGTGCCCAGCCAGACTGTGGCAATAATTTGCACCCTTTGGCTTCTCTTTCAGCTGATGTAGCCCAACAGTTCCAGTTTGCTGTGCGAGTTATTGGCAGCAACTTTGCCCCAACTGTTGAAAGAGATGAATTTCTGGTAGCTGAGAAAATCAAGAAAGAACGTAAGTATTTTTTTTTTAAGTGTTACATGCTGGCTTTTGAAACGAACATGTTCTGAGTTTTGGAACCACAGCCAACCCATGGCTTTTCTCTTCCGTGACAGAAATTGGGGGGACTTGTTGCTTGCTGTCACTCCTTTCACATGATTTGTGCGTGTAACTGAATATCTAGATTCATTTATTAATATGAAAATTAACAAGCTGTTTTGATTTTTATTTTAAAAATTGACTATTGTGGTTTACTCTAAAATGATGAAATATCGCTGTGTATCTTAACAAAATGTTTTGTAAGGGTAGTTTTTAAGTCAGGTAAACTGTCATGAATGTTGTACTTTATTGTCCTTAGAATTTAGGATTCAAGGTATTTTTACTTTCCATCCTTCTTTTCAGGTAGGTATTATTAACTAGTTAAGTTGATGATAGTTTGCCTCACTGCTAATTAATATTTGTAAGTAAATAGACTCTAAATGATCCCATTGTTTCTGTTTAGCAATTTTCACATAAATGCTTTGACTCCAGCCTAATATTTTCCATATTTTATAAGTATCAGAGAGTTTTTCAGAGCCAAAGTGTCACTCCTTTGTGTTGTTTTAGCATAGATGAAATAGTGGGTTTTGGCGTGTGATGAACATGCCTGATTTCTTTCCTCTCTTTTCAGTCATTCGGCAAAGGAGAGAGGCAGATGCTGCATTGTTTTCAGAGCTCCACAGGAAACTTCATTCCCAGGTACGCTCGGGTGGGAAGAAGCTGCGTTGGCAGGTGTGGCGCTCATGGTGAGAGTCAGCCCATGAGTGGGGAGGCCTTCCTAGTGGACGGAAATACTTGGACATTTTGGTGGTATCACAGCAAGCTTTTCTATGATCATTAATGACTTAATTGTAATAATGTTCCCTGTATTTTTTTAATATTTATTTTTTATCTGTAGTTAGACACAATACCTTTATTTTATTTGTTTTTATGTGTTGCTGAGGACGAACCCAGGGCCTTGCATGTGCTAGACAAGTGGTCTACTACTGAGCCCCAGCCCCTTTCTAACACCCCCTGAGTGAATTTTAGCTGGGTTTCATGTGAAGTTGCTTATGAAGATGAATGGAGCTGGACTGAAAAGGACTCAGAAGGCTCTAGGGTTGTGTCATGGTCTTAATGATGCTCTGAGCAGGCATGCTGGTCCACACAGCAGTAAAAGCTCCCCTCGGATGCACTTTGTTGTGTCCTAATTTGTACCTTTATAGGGAGTTATTTAAAAAATTTTGAATGTTTTGTGATTGGTACTGACTCTTGAAAATTAATGGTTTCTCTAATCTGATATATATATATACACACACACACACACATATATATATATATATATATATATATATATATAAATATTTATTTTTTAGTTTTAGGTGGACACAACATCTTTATTTTTTTATTTTTATTTTTAATGTGGTGCTGAGAATCAAACCCAGTGCCTCATGCATGCCAGGCAAGCACGCCACATCCTCAGCCCCTAACCTGTTATTTTTATGAAAGACTTTGCCAATAAGATGATTGAATGAGAGGACTGGGTGTAGCTCAGGGGTAGAACTCTCTCCTACTTATGCATAAGGCCCTGGGTTCAATTTCCAGACCTGCAGGGAAAAAAAATTATAGGTGAGATTTCTGACTATAAAGGAACTGAGTTCACTAGCTTTCTCTGTCCTTTTGTAGAACAAAAAGTGAGTTCAGAGAAGTTTAATGCTTTGTTTCACAAATGTGAAGTTGAAACGACACAAATTGTGAAGTTTGGCATAATGTGACTAGTAACTAAACTCTTATTTTTGAATCTTCATCTCTCTACATATATTCTGTCCTAAGTCAAGCCTAAATGTATGTGCTGTGTGAGCATTTTAATTCCAAGAGGGTATCTCAGAGAGGGTGGTTGTGCCCTTAGCACTTGGTTTGTTCAGGATAAACAGAGAGACAATAGGGTGGGAGGGTGTTCTCATTCCTTAATTCAGATCATTTTACTTGGATTCACGGTTTTAAGTGTACTCTTTCATCTTTGATAACATTTACAAAGTGAGAAATAGGAAATTTTTTTGTACATGCATTTCTAGACAGATTGTTTCTAACAGTGATATTATTTGTTTTTCTTAAATCTTTTTTTTTTTTTTTTTTTAAATAATTACTTCTTGGTGTTGGGTGTTAGAAAGATGTACTATCAGGTATCACGTTCCTGAGATGCTTAGCCTTGCTGGGATCCCCACCTGGAAGATCTCATCTTGTGAAACCTGTGTGTCTGTTGATATAGGCCATTGGAAGAAAATATGTTCAGGAACTTTGTGATTTAAAGTGGTGGTTTTCCGTTAGTTACATTCTACATGACAGTAGAATGCATTTTGACATATTATACATAAGTGGAGTATAATTTCTCCTTTTTCTGGTTGTACATGGTGTAGATTCACACTGATTGTGTAGTCATATATGTACCTAGGGTAATAACATTTGATTCATTCTACTGTCCTTCCCATACCCCCTCCCCTACCTTCACTCCCTTCTGTCTAATCCAAAGTATCTTTACTGCCCCCCTCCCCCCCCCCCCCATTGTAAGTGAGCATCCACATATCAGAGAAAACATTCTACCTTTGGTTTTTGGGATTGTCTTACTTCGCTTAGCGTGATATTCTCTAGCTCCATCCATTACTGGCAAATACCATAATTTCATTTTTCTTTAAGGCTGAGTAATATTCCATTGTGTATATGCATTCTACTGTCTTGTATAACTAATGAGAATAAATTAAAAAGTAAAATAGTTGTTTCCCAGAATTTTGTTTGGAATTTGATGTTTGTTTCTTTCTAAACATCAATATTCTGAAATGATGACTGCCTTCCTAGGGCTAGCCCAGAAAACTAACTTGGGTGATTTTTTTACATTGTGTGGCTGAAACATAAAAAATACCAGGAGATGGTAGCATAACACTAGTCATTCAAGTGCAAAGTAGCCATCCCATCTTTTTTCTAAAAATATCTGGCTCCAAAGTACAAATGTTGGTATTTTTTCTATCCTGTCTTCTCCGTGTGGGACCCCTTCTGCATTTGCTATGCCTGCCATGGAAGGAAAGTCTAAAGTACAGCTTGCTGTTGTGGTTTTTAGCTCTAGAGAAAGGAGGGTCCAGGTTTGGGGTGGGGACGTGGGACCCTGAGTGGGTATAGGTGTGACTGGCAAGGAAGGGCTGAGGACAGGGGAGTGGCTTGCTTGGGGAATAGAAGCACACTGCAGCTGGGACCAGGCAGGAGGAGGCCTCGGTGGGGGTGGGCGCTGCCCCGCAGGACGCTACGCCAGCCATGCTGGTTCTGGTGGGGCAGCTGCTCTGGTGTTCCCAGATCTTGGGGTGTCTGACACATCTCATTTAAAATCTCGTTTACACGCAGCCCCTGAAGCTTGATGCCTGAATCGAGGCCTCTTGGCTTCTGGAGTCCGCGGTGGCAGGGGTAGTTTAAAACATCCTTGCTAGAGCTGAGACTGTTTATGTTTGCACCACCAGGTCCCTTGCTTTCTGCCCTCTGGCTCCAGCTGGAGGTGGCTGAGGCCCCAGCCAGAGTGGGGAGGATGGAGGCTGTGCCGAGCTTCCTGGCCCGTGGCTTGGCTGTCTTCCTGCTCCTGTTTCCTAGTTACTGTCTTACTCAGTATACATCAGGTGCTCATTAGGTGCTTCTCAGTAGCTGACCCTGGCTGTTTGACACCTGCTCTTCTCTGTTGAAGCTGTCAGTCACGGGGTGCAGTGGCACACGCCCGCAGTCCCAGTAACCCCGGGGGTGGGGGTGGGCTGAGGCAGGAGGGTCACAAGTCTAGGCCAGCCTGGGAAGTTAGTGAGACCTGCCTCAAAATACAAAGAGCTGGGTGCAGCTTAGTGGGAGAGCACCCTGCATTCAGTCCCAACACCCCCTCGCCCACTGTGGTTTTTCCCCTCTGTTCAGGAACCCCTCTTTGGGAGAGCGGGCGTCTGGACCTGCTCTTCGTTGCAGAGGAAGGGCTTTCCTCTGGCCATGCCCACTGACACCTTCAGTCAGATGTTTCTTAGGAAAGGCCACTGGAACTTGCAGCCAGGCATCCTCAGAACTGAGCGGGGCACGGTTCCTAGTTGTGCCTCTGGGCATCCCTGCGCTTTCTCTTTTGTGTCCCCTCTCTGGTGTGTGCTAACTCTTAGGCTACTGCCATCTTGACTCCCGAGGCTTGTGGGCTGTTCCTCTCAAGTCATCCTCTTTTGGAGTCGGGCAGACCTGGGTTTGAATCCTGGCTGCAGCATTGTGATGTAGGTGGATTATTTGGGCTTGCTGTCTGTGTTTCTCTCATTTGTGGAATGAAGTGAATACATTCTGTTGTGGCAAGGAGGTGTTGTAGGTGAAGTACCTGCATCCTGTGGACCATCTCTAAATGGCAACTGCTGCTATTGTCTGACTGCTCCAGAATCTTTAGAGAAGTGGCATCTGGGGGAGAGGTTGCCTGAGTGCTAGTGTTGGCCTGAGCAAGCCCCTGAGCCCCAGGTCAGGTGCCCTTCAGGGGGTAGTGTGCTCCCAGGTGTGTGTTCCCAGGTGGCTGCCGTCTTCCTGCTGCCTCTAGCGCCTTGTGCACCCCTCCATGAAGCAGGGTGTGCTCCCTGCAGGAGGCCTCCGCAGGCTCCTGTGTCCTGCTCAGAACTCTTCACCCCTTCCAGCTTGCACTCTGACTACAGTTCCCGTCTCACCTGAGTGGCCGCCTTTCTGAGAGCCCTGGGTGCTGTTGTGTAATCCGCCTGCTTGCTGTAACACAGGCTGAGACTCCATCAGGGCCGGGGCTCTTTCATTTTCTTGTTGCTCAGCTGGGGAATTGGTTCAGTTTCTGGAAAATGTTTATGTAAATCAGTTTTATAAGTTAGTAATTTAAATACCTGGGATGAGCTTATTCTTCAAATAAATTTTCGGGAATGTTTTATATAACAAAGAGTCTGCATGCTGCAAGTGTTCATGGTCTGGCAGTGGGTCCCGTAGATGAAGGTGTCTGTGTCTAGCCTGTGTGTCCAGACGTGAGGCTCTGGAACAGAGGAGGTGCTGTGCACATTTGAGGTGAAGCAGGTTGAGGTTTGGCTGCGAACGGGGTTGAGGACCAGGATGAGTGGAGCAGGACTGGAGAAGAATGGGGCCCAAGTGCCAGCCCTCGTGGGGACATGGGGCCAGTGATCCTAGCAGCCAGGTGCTGTGCACAAGGTCTGCATGCTCCTGAGGCTTCTCACACTTCAGACCTAAGCGAGACATTGATAAAGAAAAAACAACGCGTGTCTTGTATGATGGCATTTGTCCTATGATCACTGTTTGGGAGGTTCTTCAGATTTTTTCAGAGGAGACAATACTGCTATTCAGAAGTAGGGTAATGTCAAGATTCGTTCTTATTGGGAACTTTGGAGTTTGTTAGCATGGTTAACATGGACCCAAGGATGTGATTCGGGAACATTATCTCCAGCTTCTGATGGTAGCTGTACTGATGACATGTGAAATGAGTACAGAGTGACGTCACCAGGGGAATTTTAAAATGCTTTTCTATTTTGGAAATATATTTAGGAGAGAAGAAAATAAAACTGAAAATTATATGAAATAGTTCTTTTAGTATTAATTTTTTTCTTAACAGGGAGTTTTGAAAAATAAATGGTCAATACTCTACCTCTTGCTGAACCTCAGTGAAGACCCGCGCAGGCAGGCAAACAAGGTGAGTGTCCCTGGTGTTGGGACGGTCTGTCAGGTTCGGAAGGAATCAGCCTCTACAGCTGAGAAGATAGCAGAGAGCAGGGAGCTGGCTTGGCCATTGGGGTCAGGCAGTTTCTTTTTTAAGGGCCTTTTTAGTCAGTGTGCAGTTTCCTTAAGCTCTATTTTAGGATTATGTCCTTCTCCTGTAACAGTGTGCGGCGAGCTTAAGTTGTGGTTTTAAGATTGGGCTTTGTGAGTTACCACTTTAGCACAGATGCATGGAAGGCCCAGGGGAGTTCCTTGTGCCTTTCTTCAGGTGTTGGGCACACTCCTCTTGACGTCCCAGTGGGCTTCATGCTGTCACACGGCTCCGTCATGCCTGTGCTGTTTGTGAGAGTGCCCTGGTTCAGTCCAGAAAAACTCGTCCTGCAGACGTGAGAGTGCCCAGGCTGAGGAACGGGGTGGGGTGGCTGCATGTCTCTCTAAAGCCTCGCTGTGCGCTGTGGGCTCGTCACCAGGTGAGGTCCAGGATGCAGCCTGGCTCACGTTTCGCTCAGCCTGGAGTGGGGATGAAGTGTTTGGTCATCAGACGTTGTGGTGGTTGTGGGGCTTTAGAGACTTGTGAAGCTTTGTTAGTTCTGGCTATTAAAAAGCATCTTGCTGAAATTATTTAATAAATGTGAAATTCAAATCTAATTCCAGCAATGGAGGAAGGGGCATGCCAATGCCCTTTCAGGTTTGGGAGAACCCGTCTGTGGTCGTGCATCCCCTCACCTCAGTGCACTTCCATTTCAGGTGTCCAGCTATGCCTCGTTGTTTGCACAGGCATTGCCGAGAGATGCTCATTCCACTCCCTACTACTGCGCCAGGCCTCAGTCCCTGCCCCTGAATTACCAGGACCGGGGCACCCAGGCGGCGCAGAGCTCTGGCAGCCTGGGCAGCAGCGGCATCAGCAGCATCAGCGTGTGTGCCCTCAATGGCCCTGCACCTGCGCCCCAGCCTCTCCTCCCAGGGTAAAGCATGCTTGCACGCACACTCTCCTGGTGTAGGAGAGCTGAGGTGTCCCGGGCTTTCAACCAAGCCTGATATTGCACCATAGGTCGCGTCTTCAGGTCATCACCCTGGCCAGTTGTGTTGGGCTGGTGATGAGTAATACTCAGCAATAATTGATACCGTTGAATTATCCTCAGGCAGACGGTTCTGGCCAAGGTAGTGCCTAGGAGCGGGGAACCTTGGCCCCCCGGGGTTGCACAGCTGTGAGGTAGCCTCTGGAGTGGAACATGCCATCCACTCTGGTTATGTTTTGAGGGAGTGTGAGCTCATGACTGAGAATGAGGAAGGTGCCAGTGTCTTTAAGAGCTTTGTTAAGATCCAATCTTAAGGATGTTTCTTGTGCAAGTAATCAGATGGCTTTGCTTTTTGCTATTGTTCATTTCTGGAAATCTCAGTAAAACAGATGGTCAGAAGTGGGTAATTTTCTAGAACAGTGATCAGGAATCAATATCAGATATATGGCGTTTCCCACATGGGCACAGTAGAATCATAAATTGTTTTGTAAGATGAAAAGTCATGTTCAAGGAATCAGAAGACAGAACATATGCAGCACATGGGTCACACGTGAGCAGTGTTCTCTAGGGGCTCACTACACATCTACAAACAGCCTGCAAGAGAGCGAATCTGAAGTTCTGGTCTGGCCCAGAGTGTAAGCTGACACTCTCATTTGTGTCTCAGGATGTGGAGTGGTTATTGTGATGATTCAGAAAGTCATACAGCTAACTTTTAGAATTAGTCTCTAAGTCTGCAGCTGTGTTCACAGACACAGTCTGAGTGAGTGTTGTTGGCTTCCCCCGTTGAGGACAGGATCAAGCACAGCCGTTCTGGGACTGCCCTTCCGTGTCTGCTTCGAGCAGCCTGCAGGGCTCTGGACCTCCAGCAAGGGCAGCAGAGCTGCTCGTGTCTTGCAGCCCTGGTAGGGGCACTTTTGTTGGGAGTGTCCTAGTGTATGTCGTTGGAAACTTCTGTCAGGTCCTTGGATTTCTAGGAAGCAGCTGTGAAGTGTTCTCAAGTCACTTTGCTACCTTGACCTTTGCAGCTTGCCTTCCATTTCTGCATTTTCCCATCTTCCAAGTTGATTGAAATTGCAATGTCTTTTCCCAGTGAGCACCTTGAGGGCGGGAGGTGATTGGGGCAGGCAGATAGGCGGGTTTCAAGTGTTTAAACCCCTCTGCTCAGGAACTGTGGAGTGAGTGAAAGGTAGTGATCGTGAAGTAAAGTCCACTTCCACTCTTTGGTTGAGAATTCCAAAGTGGTAATTCGTGGGTAATGTGTTTCATGTATTAAAGAGAAATGGTTGGGGAAGAAAGGTGTGTGTGCAGGGGTGGGTCCAAGTGTCCATGGGCTGGGACTGGTTGTGGTGATGTTTGATTGGGTGAAGTCGTGGGGTCTCCCATCTCATAAAAGGGTTAATGTGATTCAGTGTAGCAACTGAAAGGGAATTTCTGGGATGCTTTCTCCTCAGTGAGTTGCATGGTCACTTCAAGATATAAACCTTACTTTCTTTTTTCTAGACAGTCTCATCAAACTCCGGGAGTCGGGGATTGCCTTCGACAGCAGCTGGGGTCACGTCTTGCATGGACTTTAACTGCAAACCAGCCTTCTTCGCAAACCCCTCCCTCAAAGGGTGTCTCTAGTGCTGTTTCTCGCAACCTGACGAGGTCGAGGAGAGAAGGAGAGACGGGCGGTGAGTGAGGGGTCTAGCAGCTCTCTTCCCTCCCTCAGCACCTCTGTTCCCAGGGGTCTTTCCTTTGTGTCGTGAAGGTACCTGATCGGGCCCAGCATCTTAGGGTGTCACCTCATGTCCCCTTTTTTGTCCTGCAACCCTCTGCTTCTCAGCCAGTGATCACAGTCCTTTCTCATCCTGCTGTCCCTCCTGGGAAGCCCCATCAGGCTCTTTTCCTGTCTCATTCTGTTCTTCCTGGGCTGGCCGCTCGGACCTCCCCATCTGAGATACATGAAGGTTGTCTGTCTCTGTCACAGTCCCAGTGCTTAGTGCAGTGCCCAGAGCGTGGAAGAAACTCGGTGACAGTTTGCTGGATGGTGAAAGGAATATCAGTGTCCTTCTTGAGGCACTACATAGAGCGGGCTTCCCCTCTGGTCTGCAGCCTGCTGCCTCTGAGGTTGCTCAGAAGGCAGGCCAAGGACTGCCTTGGAGCTGTGAGGGTGTCCAGGAGCCTGTGGCCTTTGCAGCAGGCTCAGTCCCAAAGAGGTCTGCTGTTTAACAGCAGCTTGCACAGGCATGTTGCTGGTGCTTAGTATGCCAGCGTCTCGACCTGTCAGTGCTGCTTTCCACTCCTGATCCCTGGCCAGTGCCTTTAGCCTGTGTTCTTGACAGAGCAAGAGTGGAAGTGGACTTGCGAGGTTTCCTTGATTAATCCATGAGAATTAGGAGATGGTCAAAAGAAGAAAGGGCAGGGGATGGGTGGAGACCACCCTACTCTAAACCCCGACCTGGGGGTAACTGCATTGAATACATAGCACTTGGTTGAAGAGAGAGTTGTTTTTAAAAGAATCCTGTTCAGACTGTGTGCTGCTTGTGAGAGACACATTGGACTCAGGGTGGAGGGTTGAAGTAAGTGGATGGGAGGCACCCATCTCATGGACACAAGCCGCACAGACGTGTGCCTGTGTCGCTGTCTTGGACTTCGCTGGGCAGGACCGGAGCCGAGGCAGAGGGCCTTTTCCTCCTAAGGAAGACATGGAGTCCATGTCCTGTGTCGTCCTCCCTCTGCACCCCCTCCCCCAGCAGCTTCACGTGCACAGAGCATGATGGCAGAAGCAGAGAGAAGACAGACTGACCCGCAGTTACTGCTGGAGAGGACTGACAGTCAGGTGGCCTGGGTAGCAGCTGTGTGCGGTTCAGATAGGACTTGAACTCAGCTTGCTGCAGGTGGTGTTCGTAGCACGTCCCACCCACTGTTGGACGCACGCCCTGTGCTCTGTTGGGCTGGCTCTGGGAACACTGATCCCAGGTCATGTCTCTAGGCCTCTTTCTCCTGCACCAGTATCTTGGACTGTGGGTGCCTCTGCCTCCTTATCCTTATTTTGGGCCTGTCTCCCAGTTTGACTTACGTTTGTTCTAAGGAGTCACAGCGAGCAGAGGCTTGTTTGCACTGAGAGCTACTTTTCAGTGGTGTGGCAGGACCCAGGCTGGAGTGCGTGTTGTGCAGGGGACCTGCGTGGTAGAGGTCACCTCTGTTGGTTGTCTCCTCTGGTTGGCTTATGCTGCTGGCCTGTTGGTCACATGGAGCTTTGTCCTTCAAAGTGGGCACTTCATGGAAGAGGGGCTCTGTTGCCTTTCAGAAGGCCCGTTTCTCCTAAACTCACACCTTTTCATCTTAAGCTTGTTACAAATATGTAACCCAGAGCTAATCATGTCATGAAATTTATTTCATCTTAAAATGTGTCTGTTAGTGATTACTGTCTTTAAAAAATCATTTTACAGGTGCTATGGAAATTACTGAAGCAGCTCTCGTGAGAGACATTTTATACGTCTTCCAGGGCATAGATGGCAAAAATATCAAAATGAGCAACACTGAAAATTGTTATAAAGTGGAAGGAAAGGTACGGTAATGAGTGATCTAGTTTAAATATTCAAAAAGAAAAAAAGTGTCATAAGTCCAAATAGTAAGCTGTTTCCCTTCCAGGGTGCTCCTGGGGCTTTATGGAATTGGTGCACCAGGCCGGTCGCACCGGGAGGCCCGTCGCACCGGGAGGCCGGTCGCACCGGGGGGCCCTGGCCTTTTCCCTGTCCCATCTGGCTCCAGCTTTGGGCAGTGCTTTCTTCTTTTCCTTGGGTTGGCCATGTGGCTGCAGCGGTGCAGTCAGAGGTGCCTGAGGACAGAGGGTCAGCTTGGCACTTTGCCATTGACACAGGATTCTCAGAAGATCAGTCATGGCCACAGACAGGCACCGCACAGGGTGACGCCATGGCTTCATACTCCCTCCAGGGCTCCCCGTTCCCTGCTGGCCCTGTGCTGTCCTTGCCCTCTGGGGTGGTGCGTTAGTACTGCTCGCTTTCACATGCTGAAGCCTGAGAACCATACTGTTAAGAGTACAAGTGGTCGAGGAGAATGATAGTGAAGACTCCAGTATTGGTTCTTCATTTTTAACTTCTGATGTGTTTCCTTTTCAGGCAAACCTAAGTAAATCTTTGAGGGACACGGCAGTCAGACTTGCTGAGCTGGGATGGTTACATAATAAAATCAGAAAGTACACTGACCAGAGGAGTCTGGACCGTTCCTTTGGACTTGTAGGTCAGGTATGTTCATTACTGTTATCTTTGAAAATGCTTAGATCTACTTAAGGTCTGACTGTGGAAATGGCTACGAGGAGAACCCTTTTCGAGGTCAGCCCCCTTGGTGGTCGGTGATGGCATCAGTCAGGGTGCATGTGCTCAGGGAGTGGAAAGCATGCCAGGCGTACACAGAAGGACCAGCCGTTGCTGTAAAGGGCCCACAAGTGGTGGGCTTGCGAGTAGGGAGCCTGGGAGGAGGGCCTGCCCCATTGCTGCTGCCACTGCTGAGCAGCAGCTCCCAGGACATGGCCGACGTGACATGCAGTTGTTCTGGGCAGCACCTGCGTCCATGTCTGCGTGCTGCAGGTGCTGGTACTGGGAGCCCATCATGCCGCCTGGGGCTGTGGTCGGACTCTGCAGAGGAACACCAGCTGCCTCCCCCTGCTGCCTACAGGAGCCTGGCAGGAAGCAGCAAGTGTTTTCTGACTTATAATTGGACACAATGTCTTTATTTTGTCTATTTATTTTTATGTGGTGCTGAGGATTGAACCCAGCGCCTCACACATGCTAGGCAAGCGCTCTACCGCTGAGCCCTAGCCCCAGCCCCAGCCCCAGGCCCAGGAAGCAGCAAGTTTGAGCATGTTTCCACAGGCCCTCCTCCTCTCAGTGGTTTAGCAGAAAAGATTTTGCCTACAACTTGATTCTTGGGTAGTGATTATTACCAGTGTTACCTCCAAAAATTTATTGAGAGAATCACAAGGCGGCTGTGTACTGTAAGCATAGAGTGACACCATAGCACAGCTGGTGAGGAGCAGCATGGCAGGGTGGCATGGCTGGTACTCGAGATTGACTGTGCTCAAGAAGTAATGACTGATCTGGTTAGAAGAATGGTTGATGCTCTGGTTAGGGCGATCTTATGTGCCAGTTGGGGGGTCCTTGTTATGTGGTTAGTACCCCCTTTGAGTCTAGAAGTGTCTGGCTCTCCCACGCAGGAACCTTAGGACTCTGGCGAAGGGGCCTCAGCTGGCTGCAGGCTGCCCTCTGAACATGTGGTGCTGAAGCACTCCTGGGCTTCACAGTTAACTTATGTAATCCTGTTCATACTCTTCATGACTGGTGGTGATTGGATGGTTTCTTGTGGTCAGGATTTTTTTCTCTATTTCTTAAACTTTTGGGTGTGTGTATGTGTGCCTGCCCTGAGGTGCTAGGTGTCGCCTTCCTCGCTACAAAAACACTCAGGGTCACTCCAGGGGAACTGGGCTGCACAAAATAACCACACAGGAGACAGAGATACCTTTTTTTTGGGGGTCTTGTGACGGCTCCTCGTCAGGTCACTTAAGGGTCTGCAGAAAGAGAGAGAGAGCATGTGCTGAACCCTTTTATTGAAGAGAAGCCATTCAGTGAGGCAAGGGGTCAGGTTTCAGGGGGCTGAGTCTAGCTACGTGATGTCAGTAGGTTGACATCTAGGAAGGCCACACCCAAAGGCAGAGCAAGAGAAGGGGACACACAAAGGGCGTTTCCATGGAACATTCTATCCCAAGCAGGGCAGAGGGGTAATATCACAAAAGAACAGGTGAGCGTAGTTCAATCCATGGGGTGACACGCCTATGTCTGAAGATGCGTCCTCAACCTTTGGGACCAGGGCAGTGTCCAGGTCACTGCAAGATGTAGTGACTGTCAAAGCCTCTTCACTCCAGGATGGAAGGCGCGAATCATTCCGAGTGGCTTCCACAGCTAGGGCAGGGTTTTGTACCATGTAGTTCTGGGCCTGAGTAAATGACATGACTTTTCCTTTGTGGACATTGCCTAAGGAGATGGACCCTCAGTTCATTAAGCACCTGGTGCCCACCCTGCATCCCGTGCTTCCTTCCTGATCTCATTTGCCTCCAAGGAACTGATGCCACCCAGGCTTGGGACAGTGGGGTCTGGCCTTAGTTGGGAGCCAGGACTTAACCCTAAGGTCTGTGATTCCCCAAACTAGAGCATTTTATCTTGAAAGTCTCTTTTGAAATGTTTTGTGTTTTTAAAATCAGTATTTTAATGTTTGTTTTTAGAGCTACAGACATGAAAGTATTCTTAGTAGTTCCCAACCCACAAAGCATAAATATAGCAAAATAAACCCTATTTTGTGTGATTATAATTGTTTTAAAATATGCAGGGACGTAAGGAGCCCGCGTGTTCAAGAGAACAGGCTCTATCTGTTGCAGACCGTGTCTGGTGGGCCGCTGTGGGAGGTAGAACTGCCCCAGGGTGTGCTCTGTCGTAGCCTGCAGTTTGTGCCCAAGGTCTGCTCGAAGGCTGTGCACGGGTGCAGGGAGCCCTCCTTGCAGCGCTGACAGTGCCGCCTTGCTGTGGCTGCTTGTCGGCCATCAGTGGGACAGAGGTTCAGAGCTGTGGGTGGGGAGTGAGCGGTGCAGGCCAGAGCACAGCTGGGTCAGTACTGAGTTACCACTCTTTAAATTTTGCCAATTAAGAAACTTAAAGTTAGGTTTTAACGCTAAAAATCTGAGGGGACATGGCCTAAAGCAAAGGCTCTTTGAAGTGACTGCCCTTCAGCTTCTTGAAGGCCATGCTGCAAAGTCCACGCTGTCTTACTAAGGACTACCCCTTTCCTGTCATGTGGAAGGGCTCACTGTGGGGTCAGAACTGTGTGAGGACATTGGCAGAAGCAGCATTGAGGTAGAACTGCCCCTGGGTGTGCTCGCTGCCTCTACTCTGGCCCTGGCCTCTCCGGGGCCAGGGTGGGGGTGGGGGCGGGGGTGGGGCACCCCGGTGACTCTCTGCTCCCCACAGAGCTTCTGTGCCGCTCTGCACCAAGAGCTCAAGGAGTATTACCGCCTACTCTCCGTTTTACATTCCCAGGTAAGCTGTTTAAAAATTTTTTGATTTCTTCCTGATTTGAAGAGTTAGAAAATTAAAACCACATAGACAGTTTTTTAAGTTACTTTATACAATACTTTTAATGATTGTATTTTGTTTCATAATATGATTTGTTAGGTCCAAATGGCTATAAAGTCTCTTTGTATCCTAGAGCCCATTAATTGTTAATTTTCAGGGTCTTGTCTATCATTTAAAGACCCTCTGTCCTTGAAAGTACTATCATTTTTTTCAAAGGGGACCTTTGGTTTAATCACAAGTGTAGTTTCTTTGTGTTCACTTTGTACTGTTTAGAATTAACTTAGAATTTGTGCCTAAACTTTTCCATGTTGTTTTTCAGCTACAGCTAGAGGACGATCAGGGGGTGAATTTGGGACTTGAGAGTAGCCTAACACTACGGCGCCTCCTGGTTTGGACATATGATCCCAAAATAAGACTGAAGACCCTTGCAGCCCTGGTGGATCACTGCCAAGGTGCTTCTGTGTCTGTGTGTGCCTAGATGTGTTCTGGTGGAAGGTCGTCTGCAGGGCAAGCCATCGGTGCGCTTTAGTACCCTGACCCTTTGCATCCTTAGCTGCCAAAAGTACCTTCATTGAATGCAGATTAATAGACACGGCGCCTACAGGGAGGGCGACTCGTGGCCAGTGTGGTCCCTGTGTGTCCTTGTGGAGGCTTAGGATGTCCCCGAGGTGAAGGCCAGGAGGGGAGGTGTCACTGCATGTGTTCTGGATGCCAGGACCCTCCTGTGCTCCTCTCTGCCTGGCCTCTTGTTGGGCAGCCTCCCTGCCTCTCCCTGTCGTCCTCATTCCTCTGAGGCAGGGTTCTGCCCTGTTCTCCACCTGTATGGTGGCGTTCCTGTGTATGTGTCCAGCTGAGGCCCTCCCGAGCTCTAGCCTCTGTAGTTTTGGCTGCCTGCTGGACATTTTCCCCTCACAGTTTGTCCCAGCTTGGCCAAGACCCTCTCCTTTCTCTTTTGTGATGTTGGGATCCTGGTAGTTGTTACATTCTAGGCTTCTTAGGACTTGATGGGATGTGAAGAGCCAGCCATCTGCCCCTGGCAGGAGCTCCCCACACTCCGCCATCTTCTGCTGTATGGTTTTCAGGACCTGAGCTTACATGTCTGAGTCCAGGTTTATCAGCATGCAGTCTGTGCCCGCCTCCCTCACCTCCTGGCACTTCTCAAAAAGGTTTTTGAGCACAACAAATAAAACTCTGCTGTTGGTCCAGTTACTGCACACCTCCATGGCTGGGTCTCTGCAACATCCTCCTTTCTCTTGCAGTCCCCCATCTCTTCTAGTATCAGTGGGTCACCTAAGTCCTGCTGCTGTCCTCTACCTGTCTGACCTGTCCTCTTCCCATCTTGGTGGCACTGCTGCTGTGAGAACCACCGACAGATCCTGGGTCCCAGGCTCACCACCCCTGGTGCACACGGCAGAGCAGTCTGTCCACAGCAGTGATGCAGGGCAACATGAGCCGCTGTGTCACTTGGGAAGCTTCCTGCACCTTTGCTTCTGGACCTGAGTTTGCCACTTGCCTGCTTCAGCCTGCACTCAGGGCTGCTTTGTTTGCGTGAAACAGGGTCTTAGATGGTGCTGCTGCTGGTTAAGGGTGAAGAAAGTGAATTGAGACTAGCGTAGTGAACTCCAAAACAGTGTAGAACGTTAGTTTCTTAGAACTTTAGTTCTTGTTAATCTTACATCATGCTGAATTACAATACGATGTGTGACTCTTAGCGTGGCTCAGTCAAGAAGGCATGAAAAGCCACGTAAGATCTAGATTTTGTCACCAGTCACTTGTTGCTACTCTCTGAATTGAAACACTTGTTAGCAGTCAAAAAGAGGGAAACCACTGATGTTGGGTGAAGCCCTGGGCAGGGTCTTGATGTCTTGGCCTGATGCATTGCTTATTGCTGCTGTGTCTAGGTACCAAAGTGGTATAGACCGAAGAAAGCAGACACGCTTTATCTCAGTTACTTGGCCATCTTTGGTTAATGTTAAGTGACAGGTTTGTGCTGTGAAGTAAACTTGGGTGTTGTGTTTTCCCAGGAAGGAAAGGAGGTGAGCTGGCCTCTGCTGTCCATGCCTACACGAGAACGGGAGACCCCTATATGAGGTCCTTGGTGCAGCACATTCTGAGCCTGGTGTCTCATCCCGTGCTCAGCTTCCTCTACCGCTGGATCTATGATGGGGAGCTTGAGGACACTTACCACGAAGTAAGGAGGAGTGTTTGGTGCCGAGGCTGGGGGCAAAGGGTGCGGATGCTCGGTGACTCCTCCTGGTTCCCCACCATTTCCACTCCCTCTGAGCAGGATACACCATACTTCACTCAAGTGCCGTGAGCATTTTGTGCTGTGCCGAAAAGATAGTCTTGCTGAGCAGCAGAGCTGTGTGTGGCTGGTGGGAAACTGCTCTCCAGCTCCAGGACTGAGAGACTCAGTGAGTCGGCCCACTTGCCCAGACTTCTGTCGTGTGTCTGAGTGGTGCAGCCTCCCGTGTCCATTCACTGTTCCAGGAGGCCCCTGGGTGCACTCACTTTGCCCACCTGTGGTGGGCTCTGCAACATTCTCCTTTCTCTTGCATCCCCTATCTCTTCTAGTATCAGTCGGTCACCTAAGTTCTGCTGTTTGAAGGAAGCAAGTTAATTGTATAGTGTATATTTTACCTTTTGGAAGTACTGTCAGTTCTGCTATAATGCAGCATGTGAATTCTTAAAAATCACTGCTGTGCAGCTAGGCATGGTGGCTGAGGCGGGAGGATAGGAAGTTCAGAGGCAGCCATAGCAACTTGGCCAGACCCTAAGCAACTCAGTGAGACCCTGTCTCTAAATAAAAAAATAAAATAAGGGCTGGGCTGCAGCTCAGGGGTAAAGTGCCCCTGGGTTCAATCCCTGGTACCAGGGGAAAAAAAAAAAAAAAAAACTCATTGCTATGCAAAGCCACACGATAAAAACCAAAGGGCTTTGTGGGAAAATAGGGTGAGGATTGTCACACTCAAAAACATTTTCAGGAACATTAAGAAAGCAAAAGCAGGAACCTAAAAATAATTTACACCTGTTAAGTGGTTAAGAGATACATGAACCTGCAGTAAGTACGGCATTCACCTTGGAACAGCTCTGATGTTTGCTGTGGAAGTGGGCATGGGAGGGCTTGGGTCCATCTGTTCTGTGAAGTGTCGGGGGCCGTCTGACACACAGAGCACCTGGGAGGAAGGAAGGGGGCCGAGGGCTGTCTGTGCGTTTGTCCTGTGGCTCTGGCTCTGCCTTTGGCTGCCATCCTCATGGCACGAGGTGCCCGTGAGCAGATGTGAAGCTGTGCCGCTATTGCCGTTGTTTTTAAGACACGTGCTAGAGCAGAACCAGTGGTAGATGGCGCTCTGTGCTTTGGAAGCCTGTGGTGGGCGGTACGTGGGGGTGTGGTGCCAGTGGTCAGTGTGCCTCGGCTCTCTGATAACGCCGGGAGGGCCTTTGTATTACCATATGTTATTCCACCACATGAACAGACCGGTATTTACTCAGCAGATCTCCTGTTGATGGAAATTGTGTTTTTTGTAGCTTTTCATCTTAGGAACATTATTCAAATAAATGTCCTTTTTTGTGTCTCCCAAATTTCTTGGAAGTAGGTGTGGAGGTGGAACTCTGGCTGGTGAGGATGCATGCCTTAGGTTTTGATTCTGCCCTTTTAAGCCCTCAAGTGGGTGTACCTCAGGTTCAGCATCCCTAATTTGAACGTTCCAAATCTGAAATCTGAAACTGAGTGCTGTCATGATGCCACCAATGGAAAATTCCACACCTGGCCACGTGACAGTTCACATGAAACAGGCACTCTGTATGCTATCGACAACGACCTTCATACTGTCCACACAGTGCATAGGAAACGTAAATGAAGTTAGGTGACACTGGAGTCCCATCCCGAGGTACCTTATGTATATGCAGACATTCCAGAGTCCAAAACAGATCCAGTGTTCTAAACGCTTCTGTTCACAGGCACTTCAAACCAGGGCCCCTGGCCCGTGCTGGTGTCCTGGGCTTCCTATTATCAGCTTACATAGGTGTTTCTGAGTGCAGTTAGGCCGCTTGGCTGTGCAGGGAGTGTGTTTTGTATTTATAGTGAAATTTAAATCCTTTTTGGGTCTATTCTGGAAAATATTATGAAGTTGTTTGTTTAGTTAAGAGTTTCAAGTGAGACTTAAGCTTTCAGGATTAAAGGGGTCTTATATTCTTGGGCTGTTCATTTCTTATCCAGTAAGATGGGAGGTAGGGGGAACTTGCAAGTGTCTGCCTTTGCTTTGTTTTTGGTAGAGTTAATGCATTTGAATTCCTTTATTCTCCAGTTACAGGATGAAGTGAGTTTTGGATGGTGTTTTCTGTGTAGTTGAGGTGGTGCACACCTGTAATCTCAGTGACTTGGGAGGCTCAGACAGGAGAATCATGAGTTTGAGGCTAGCCTCAGCAATGTACCAAGGCCCTAAACAACTTATAAATAGGGCTGAGGATGTGGCTCAGTAGCAAAATAACCCCCCCCCCCCGCCACCACAAACACCCATGAAACCAAAAGAAGCCCTGTATAGTTGATTATTTAAAATGCTTGTTAAATCTTCTGACCATGATCACAAAACAGATTATCTATACTTTAAAAGTATGTCATTTTCGAGTTTAGGTTAAGAAAATGAAAAATTGAGTTTCTTTTTAAGGTGTATGAATATATGTGCAGGGCCCGGGTTCAATCCCCAGCACCAAAGAAAAAAGTTCTGTGTGTTCAGTTTTGAGGCTATCTTTTTATTACCCATTAAAATTGTACCTTACAGAACTAAGAGGTTATTTTTTAGAGCAATCTTTAAAAAGATTATGAAAAAACTTGATAATTTTACGACTATTTAATGAAGAGTCTGTGTTCCCTCTTCTCTATCTGGTGATTAATACATGGATTCTAACCCAGCTCCGGGCAGTTTCTGCTCTCCCGAGCCCTTGAGGTGCAGTGCCCGAGTTCCTTGCTGAGGCCTGCCCTGCCCAGCCCTGCAGGCCACGGGCGTGCTGCTCCCTGCTTGTCCTGCTGCTTGTGAGGCATGCCGTACTGGGCTCTGGCCTGGCCGCCCTCCTCATGGCTCTGCGCCCTTTAGCCTCCCTTCCGTCTCCAGAGGGGTGTGGTGGCCACCCTGCTGGGGTTCCATGAGGACGAGGTTTGAGCAGACAAGTGGTGAGCGTGTAGATGTCACCCGAGTGAGGCAGCCCCAGCAGAATGGTGGGTTCCCCGAGTCTCTTTTGTCCCTAAGTCGGCGGCCTTTCTCTTTTCTGTTTGTACGTCTCCATCACCCTCAATTTCTGGAGAACCCTACGTTGATACATGTTCATTTAAACTTTTGATGAGCTTTGGAAACATTCTCTTTAGTTGACTCTTATGTACTCACTGAATGAAATTGGTAGTTTGTAGAGGGTGTGTTTGATGGTTATGTGGCTAAAATCTGAGAATTCTTCTTCATTTCCAGCATAGGTTAGTATGTCCTCAGTCTGGCTACTGTGAGGTTGAATTTCTATAGTCTACAGTTGACCCTGATGGTGATACAGGAGCTTATAATCTTTTATTTCCTGGTAGATTATTGGATGTCTGCACAAAGAAATGCTACTTTCTGTAATCAAAAGAAAGATAAAGACATCAAGAAAGAACTTGGAAAAAGGGAGTAGGTGTAGAGGTGGAAGCCAGAGCTGATCAGGGCATTACTGCAGTGAGAAGAATCGCCAGCTGCCCTGCTTAGCAGGGAGGTCAAGTGAGGCCATCCAGCTGGGGGACCAGAGGAGAAAGAAGGAAGGAATGTGAGAGGTGCCCAGGAGACTGCGGTGCGCAGATCTCACGCTCTGCTGTGCACGTCCCGAGTCGGCACTCTCAGTGGAACGGGGAGGGTTCTTAGGTCATTTTAAGAGGCTGCTGTAAGACAGCATAGGAAAACGATATGCCAATGTCTTATGAATGAAGATACGAAGATCCCCAAGAGAATACTGGAAAACGGAACTCATGGCATATATCAAAAGGACTGTACCCCTCAGCCAAGTGGGGTTTACCCCAGGAATGCAAGGGTCCGGCCTAGAGCCGACTGCGTGACACCACACTCAGGATGAGCAGAGAAGTCAGAAAACACCCCCCACCCACCACCATTGGTGCTAAAGGAGCAATTGAAGAAATCCAACATTCTTCACCTTAGGAACGCACAGACTAACTAGAAAGGAGCTCAGCCAGCAAAGGGCGTCTATGAACTGTCACAGACCACGAGCCTCTGGGATCAGGAACAAGACGGGGTGTCTGCTCCCACCACTCCTGTTAGCATTGTGCTTCAGGTGGGGGGAACAAAGCATCCAGGTCGGAAAGGACCAGTAAGTGCTCTCTGTCCCAGATGGCCAGGTCTTGCAGATGCAGGCACCGCACTGTGAGGGTACCTGGGCGAAGGAGCCTGAACCTCACATCTAGGTGCTCCCAGCAGCAGGTGTGAGATCAGTAGCAGGAACCAGCTGTGCTCCTGTGCCCCAGCAGTGTACGTCCACATGGGAGACCGAGAAGATAGTCACAGGCAGTAGGACCCCAACAGGCAGGAGGCCTGGGGTCAGTTTAGCCAAGGAAGTGCATGTCTTGAGCCTGTACATGCTGTGTCTGTGAGTTTGCTGCCTCCAGGACTTCTGTTGCACGAGTGTCTGGGTGTGTGTGTGCCTGTCCCCTGGCATGGTCACTGCGGTGTCTCCGACGGGTGTCCTGAGAAGCAGTCTCACCCTGGCCTTGGCCTGCATGGCTGGTGAGTGAATCTTCAGAGGTCTGTGTTGATGGGTCTGATTCCTAGAAACCAGTTGCTTACTGAGAAAATCTCCCTCTTTGTTTCTGTGTTTAGTAGGGGAGCCTTGGTGTTTCTCCAGCAGCGAACGACATACCTTGGTACAGTTAGCTTTATTTTCCCTTGATTCTGTTAGGTTTAATAGTGAAAATCCAAGACCTTGAGTGGAAAAATGCATCAGTAAAGTAAAAGCTTTGCATCTGTATTCTGACCTTGTTTTTCCTCCCTTGCTGCATCTCTCTCTCACAGGGTTAATTATGTTCTGAAGGGCCCCGTCTTTGTGTTCATATTGGCTGTTTGCCGGTAGAGTGACTGCATGTTCCTTTGCCCCCAGAGGAAGCAATGCGTTCATGACTTCTGAAGATGACCGGATTGTCTGAGCTTTTTATAGCTGAAATTAAATTTTCTTATTGTTCACGCTGATAAAAATCCGGCTGCACTCCAGCTATTAGGATGAATTAGTGTGTTGTCCATAAAAGCTAGCTCTTCTGTTCAGGTGAAGAGCAGGGAAATACAATTTATGCAATTAATCTAATCTGTTGAATGGCAGGCTACAGAGCATGCACAGCACAATGATTGGGTAACCCTGGAGATTATTCATGGTGGATTTTTAAATTTCCAGTGGAGATAATTTAAGTATATGTTAAGGTGACGATAGTCCACATTAGAGAACTGTTTATTTCTCAAAGCAGTTATGAGTTGTGTTTTAAATTAGAAAGGTAATGTAAATCAAAAAGTCTAAAATAGAAAGGTCCACGAATGCTTAGTCGTTCAAGTTGTGCTAAAGATGGGAAGTTTTAGCTGACCCAGTGGGGTGGCCCTGCTCTGCAGTCAGGGAAGCCCTGGTCTCGTCCTGCACCTGCGTGCAAAGGGCTGGCTGTGTGCTGCCGTGGCCGTCACACCTCTCCTACCAGGACCTTGGCATTGCTGGAGTTCCATCCCCGGGCTCTTCTCCCTTGGTGTTCCTGCCAGAGACAAAAAAGCCTTTGACCTAATTGCCTTGAGAAAATGATGTTATTAAGAAAAATACTGGAAAATGTGTTCAGTATTTGATGGAATTACTTCTTTAATTAAACAGTATTTTTTCCTGATTTAAAAATATTCCCAATTTTAAAAATCTGGGTTATATAAATAGAGATATAATAGATTATATAAATAGGTAAATGGAGGTAGTTAAAAATTCATTAGTAATCTCATGTACAAATATTTAGGAATATGCCATTTTGTGTACCATATCACAATTCATGTTTTATAACTTGTTATTTTTTTCCTTGTAGTAAATACTGTTATTTTATGCCAGTAAACATTATTTTTTCATACCACGGCTGCTTAGAATGATCTCTGAAATTCCTGAACAGTATACCAAACTGTATTGTGACATGTGCATTTTTTCCCCGGGACAAAGGTCTGTACTTTTCCTCAGATTCTTGGAAGGCCAGTGATAGTTAAGAACAAACTGTTTTAAATCACTACATGATAGCTTTTTGTAATTCCTTTATGTTTTGTTTTCAGTTGTGTTTAGACATTTAGTGCCGTACTGAACAGTGATATATCCTGACCAAGAATACTTTATTTAAGTAATATAAGGATAATATTTTATTCAGAATTCATTCTTCTATTTTCATAGATGAAACTGGCTTATAATATTAAGTTTTGACACTCTTTGTAAGGTGTGCTAGCGTCAGGCTAATGTCATGAAGTAAACTCAGGCATTCTGTATATTTTCTGTGGTCTCGAACATTTTCAGAGCATAAGAATGGTGGTTTTTAGCCAGGTGTGGTGGCACATGCCTGTAATCCCAGCAGCTTGAGAGGCTGAGACAGGAGGATCATGAGTTCAAAGCCAGCCTCAGTGACCTAGCACAAGGCCCTAACCAATCCAGCGAGACCCTGTCCTGTCCCTAAATAAAATATATCAAAAGGAGTTGGATGTGGCCCAGTGCCTCTGGGTTTAATCCCTGGTACCAAAAAAAAAAAAAAGAAAAGCCACCTTTTTTTTTTTTTTTTTTTTAAAAAGTTAAGCAGGCCCTGGACCTTGCTCACAGCATCTTAACATTTCCAATTTCTTCTAATGATGTTGCCCTTTTGGGGTCTCCTCTCTTTTCTTGGTTTACTTTTGGCCCTTGCATTTTGTTAGAAGATCATTGCTCTATAATTGCTGATATTCCTTGGATCCATTTTGTGCCTGTGGACTCACTGTCCAGTCGGGGGGTGTCATTCACAGGGCACTTTGGGATGGGTAGGCACTTGTGTGTTTCTGCCTGTGTGGGGTTTCTGGTCTGACACCGTGGAGCTGCTGTGTGTGGTTCAGCCGGTGCTGGGTCTCAGTCCTCTGGGTCCTGTGGCACACCACCACGGGTGCTGAGGTCGTGGTCCTGACTTCTCTCTTAGAGCAGAGTGGGCTCGTGGGGAGGCAGCAGAATCTAGGTCCCAGGAGGAACCGAGGTGAGCCCAGAGGCCCTTCTGTGCCAGGAGGCCAGCAGGACTCCTAGAGCCCATCCAGTGTTAAGGACCAGGTGTGGTCCCGGAGGCTCCATGCTCCCAAGCATGGAGCACCAGTGGGAATAACAACCTATGGTTCAAACTCTAGGGGCAATGGATACTGCTTTCCCATGGTAATACTAAGCAAACTGCCCCCACCCCCGTGGCTGGTCAGAGAATCTTCAGGTGCCCCTCACGTCTCTTGCTGTAGGCACACGGCATCCTTTCTTATCTGTTGATGCAGTTCTGATAATGCTTCCCCGTGCAGCAGGTCCAGCAGTAAAGAATCATGGCACGCAGCGGGAAGCAGATCCCTGCAACATCTTGTCAGTTCAGAGTCCAAGGTTGAACATGGCACAAAGACTGAAGTCACATGGTGGAGAATATTCCTATAATCTGGAAATGGGAAGATCTCAGGGAGACAGGAAGCCTAGAAGCTCTAGAGGAAGGCAGGTGTTTAGCTCACAGGAAAATAGAACACAAATGTAACCAGTTGCAAACAGTTAACTTAGGAAAACTAGATTTGCAGGGTGTAGTAGCACGTGCCTGTAATTCCAGCAGCTCGGGAGGCTGAGGCAGGAGGATCGAAAGTTCAAAGCCAGCCTCAGCAAAAGTAAGGTGCTAAGCAACTCAGGGAGACCCTGTCTCTAAATAAAATACAAAATAGGGATGGGATGGGGCTCAGTGGTTGAGGTGGTTGAGTGCCCTGGAGTTTAATCCCTGGTATAAAAAAGAGAAAAGAAGAACTAAGTTTGTGTCATGTAGTAATTTACAGCAGAATGTTATTGATAAGGGAAGGCAAAACCAGTAGAAAGGTGGGTTAAGGACACAAAAAGACAGTTCTAAGGAGGAAAAAAAGAAAGTAATGAAATTATGAAAATATGTTAAACTTCATTTGCAGTCAAATAACAGGACAATAATAATGTCACCTAAAGCACACAAGATGCAGAATGTCGGGCATGCTATTGGCAGGGGGGGGCAGTAGACGGCTACTGGGAAAGGAAGTCTGGTACTGTCCATGAGAATTAGGCTACTTCGACTCAGCACTTCTGCTTTTAGAAAACTCTTCTATAGAAACCAAGGCACAGGTGCTGGGCATGTGGCTGAAGGTGGAAGTATTCTCACTGTGGTGGTAGCTAAGCTGGACGTGATAGCAGTGGAACTTCCCCTCAGTGCTTGGAGTTCTTCCTGATGTCAGCCCTCTGGGTGGCTGGAGTGGGTGGGTGGGGGCGGGGAAAGTGGGCTGTGACTTAAATGGGAGGGAGAGGAGATCTTGGTCCTTTCCCAGTGCCACCTGGCTGGCTGCTGATGGCCATTGCACGTGTGCTTGTGTGTGTGGGAGGGCCTGCCTGCAGGTGATGGTGTGAACTCTGGTGCTCTTTTGTGAGCAGAGCATGTGGGTTCAGACACCTGTGCCCCACAGTGCAGCCCTGTGAAGTGGAGATGGTAAGCTGGTACTGGCTGAGCAGAACAGAAGTTCGGGCTATTGCCAGGTAGTAGAGCTTCGTGCAGACAGGGAAGCCGGTTCCAGGTTGCGGGCAGGGGCCTCCTTGATACTCAAAATGAGGTTCCTGATTCTCCAAGAAGTAGTCTAACTTGTTTTTTTTATGCTCTTATTTGGGAAACATGTAATTCAACTTGGATTTTTGTCTAAAATTCTTTATAAAACTAATTTTATTGGGTAAATGGGTAAGATTCCCTGTTATCTGGAGAATTTGCCTATAGAATAATTTTCTAGAATAACTTATTATTTGATGCTGCTTTTAGTTCAGTTTTTGCAATAATATCACTTTTTGATACTCATTGAACCTTTGCTTTCAGTTTTTTGTAGCATCAGATCCAACAGTTAAAACAGACCGACTGTGGCATGACAAATATACTTTGAGGAAATCGATGATTCCTTCATTTATGACAATGGATCAATCTAGGAAGGTGGGGAAGAAGAAATTTTTGTGACTTCGATGTTTTATTGCAATATATACTTGGATTATGTAACAAAACTAGTTTTCAGTTAAGTAAAATTGTTTTTTGCATGTTAGGATTGTTAGTATCTTAGAAGTACATGTTAATTGAATGCATCACTATGTCAATGTGTGTGTTAATGTATTGGCTTTGAGTTCCTAGAAGTTACTTGATAGTAGATCTGATGTTCTTGTTATGTAGTTTTTGATCAATCAACAATTTGTAACTTGTGACTATTTGTAGTATTTGATGATAATTTAAATTTCATTTAAAGGTAATCTTAGGATATTTTCCTTTTAGGTCCTTTTGATAGGAAAATCAATAAATTTCTTGCACCAAGTTTGTCATGACCAGACTCCTACCACAAAGATGATAGCTGTGACCAAGTCTGCAGAGCCACCGCAGGATGGTATGAGTATGTTGGTGGTGATGATTGGTGGTGGTGGTGGTGGTGATGTCATTGATGTGATGTGGGGTTGGGGATAATGATGATGGTGGTAATAGGGGTAAAGGTAATGTATTGATGGTGGGGATGATGATATGGTGGTGGTGGTGTGAGGACAGGGATGATGATGGTGGGTGTGGTGGTAATGGGGATGGTAGCGGTGGTGAAGGTACTGATGAGAATGGTGGTGGTGAGGATGGTGGTGATGAGGGTGATAATGGTGATGGGGATGGTGGTAGTGGTGGTGGTGATAATGGTGGTGATGGCGACAGGGTGTGGTGACAGTGAAGGTGATGGTGGTGAGGATGGTGGTGATGAGGGTGATAATGGTGATGGGGATGGTAGTGGTGGTGGTGATAATGGTGACAGGGTGTGGTGATGATGGTGACAGTGAAGGTGGTGGCAGTGAGGGTGGTGACAGTGAGGGTGGGGGTGATCATGTGGTGATGGTGATGGTTATTTATTGCTTAAGATGTTCTTTGTTCTATAGGATTTAGAGATTATGTGGATGACTAACATACTGTTGACCACAGTTTAGATATATATGTGGGCGAGTGTGTGCACGTTTGTGCGTATAATATCTGTATGAATGTTAATTCCCTTTTTTACACAGAGTTAAATAGTAGGTATTGGACTAGGGTGTGACTTTTTTATTCTGCTTAGTAATTTGTGTTACTCTTTCCCTAATGGTAAAGTGACAGGTGCCAAAATAAGAAAACAGGGTGAAATGTAACTAATGGTAGCCCTGCTTTGGGACTCAAATGCTAGTTCAGAAACCAGCAGGGATTTGGCAATCTGTTGTATTCAAAATGCTGTGCTAAATTTGTCCCTCCATTTCAAGTGTGATGATTTCCCCTCATTCGTCTGCCATTCCTCACTTCCATTTTACCCACTCGCTGCCTGCCCAGCTTTAGTAGTTTCATGGTATTGTGTGTGTGCCTAACTTGTTTTTATAGCTTTCCTGTCCTGGCTCTATCTGCTGTTCCTATCGTCATCTCAGATGGCTCACAGTTTCCTTTGTATTGACAATGGGATACCAAGTAACCCTAGGAGAAGATCGGGCTGGCTGTGGAAGTTTGGGAAGCACCTGCCTTGTTACGACAGCCAAGGGCAAGGCTGATGCCCTGGCCAGAGTGCCCAGGGGGTGGGGTGGGGCAAATGTCAGGCCCTCAGAGCTGGGTGTCTCACCCACAGTGAATTTGGACACAGTTTTGTGGTCCCTCAGGTTAACTCCTGGATAGAGAGGTGCCATTCAGTGCAGATTTTGGGAAATGCCTATGATTAAAAGGTAGAAGAAAGAAGAGCCAGGATGGCAATTGTGTTGGAGCCGTGGCCTTTCCATAGTGCCTAGAGGACCACCTGCAGGAGGGGCATGGGTAGCACCTGGGAGGGACAGTGTCTCCACAGGCCTGGTTTGGCTGCCTCCGCTGCTGCCGTCACTGTGTGCTGCTGGTGTTACTGCCGCCTCTGCTGCTGCTGTAAGGCCACTGCAGCTGCCCCTGCTGCACCTCTGCAGCTGCCATTCTGCACTGTGGCTGTGGCTGTGCTGCTTTTTCACGGTGGCCTGGATTCCTGCTGCCCCTTCAGACTGTGTCATAGCTAGTGTCTGTGGAAAGCCAGCTTCTGCTGCTCAGTTTATAGCATAGTGGAAAGATAGGGCACAAGTCCCCAGAGACTGCCAACAGTACACATGTGGGATATGTCAGATTCATATTCACCTGTGAAAAAATTTCCAGATTATCCAAGTGCCACTAAAGAATAAAGAGGAATTTGAGAAGCTGGACACAGGAGTGCTGGGACTTGAGGAGCCTGGGTCTCAGTTTTCTGACAGGCGCCCTGGGGGAAGATTGGTTAGTGTTCTGTTGTGTGTACTAGAATGAGAAATGCCTGTGAGTCAAACAGCAGTGTGCTGAAGGCCTCCTGGGCTACAGAGTCTGCCCTTTTAAAACTGCATAGATGAACAGAAACATCACCTCTGCCCTTAGCGTGAGGACCGTGGGAGCTGGTGGCCTGCTCCTGTGCCTGTGGGCCCAGCAGACCTCACTCTGCCGTCATCTGTGGCCCTCTTCACCGGGTCCTGGTTTCCTACTCTAGGGGGTCACTGGAGTGAGCAGTACCAGACTCACCCACGGGTGTGGGGAAGCACAGAGAATCATGGAGTCTTCTGATACTCTAACTCAGCAGTGGAAGGAGACTGAAACTGGGAATGAAAGGCCTCGCCTCTCTTATTCCTGCTTGACCTTGAACATGTACTTCATCTTTTCTCAGGCTAGGTCTTTGCTTAGCTTTGGGGTGGTTTTCTAGCCCGAGGGTACTGTGGTTTCTTAATGAAACTGAATGTTCACGCTGGAGCTGCAGGATGTAATTAGCCTCATAAATTAGCCTGAGGTGTGTCTGTGGTCTCCACATTCTTGTCCTTTGGAAGTACTTTCTCCCTGTTAGGAGCTAGGCTCTGTGGGCTACAGTCTGGTCCTCTCCCTGGGAAGTCTCCAGTGGGTTCCTGTGGCACTGTGATGTGGCTGCATGACGCACACATGTTCACACGGGGCTCTGCTCCAGGACCACTTATTTTCTGGGTGACTATAGAGCTTTAGTCAGACTTCACATGGCAGTGTGGAAAGTGACCTCTGGAGTTAGGAGCAGTGCCGTGTCAGTTCCTATTGTTGGTCCCGCAGTTGAGGTCGGCGAGTGCCCTCAGCTGTCTGGGTGCTGGTTTGCTTTCTTTGACTGCAACTCTATGGTGGGGTCGGCCTGCCTTCCGCACATTTGTGCCACTGCTGTACTGTTCCGATACATATCACACATGTATGTGTGCTTCTCCCTTTGTCCTCTACAGCTGCAGATTTATTCACAGATTTAGAAAATGCATTTCAAGGGAAGATCGATGCTGCTTATTTCGAGACCAGCAAATATCTACTGGATGTTCTCAACAAAAAGTACAGCCTGCTGGACCACATGCAGGCCATGAGGCGGTACTTGCTTCTTGGACAAGGAGACTTTATAAGGCACTTAATGGATTTGCTAAAGTAAGAAGTAAACTGCTCAAGTGTTCTAAGTAGGCAGTACTTGCAATGTGAAAGAGTCTGATACTTCTGGTGTGGAAGAATCAGTGGTATCAGAGGGAAAGCTTGAATTGTTATGGGGCACACGCCTATCAGAATCTACACAGATGAAATGGTGTCATTTCACCGGCCAGGGTCCTTTGGGTTTGCTCTGGTGATCTGTAGGCCATCAGCCTGTGCGACGTGCTGTTCCTAAGAATCTGTGTCATTACGAGCACTGTGGCTGTGTCAGCACCCTGAGTGTGAGAAGTCAGGCAGAATCATAGTTAACTCTGGCTTCAGTGTGAAATTAACCTGAAAATGTATAATTTACACTGAACTTTGTATTCGTATTTTCAGCTATCATTGTTTTGTGTGAAGAGCAAAACCTTCCATTTGGCTCCTTTGGCCCTCCTCCGCCATCCCTCTGGAGTCCCATGCTGGTTCTCTCCTCCCTCCCTAGAGACAGAGACATCTGTACCTAAGAGGACACAGACCCCAGGGGTGCAGTCCAGCGCTCTTGGGCAGAGCTGGCCATGCACACGCTGAGTGTTGTCACAGCATAAGCCCAGTGGTTTTCACTCAGACGTTTGTGAGAATGGATACTTCTTATTTGGGGGCAGGGTGTGGAGTTCTCTTTAGGACATTTAAAAAAAAAGATGAATGTCCCCCTTATGACACAAAACAATAAGTTACTTTTAAATCCTAGCTGTCCCCATCAGATCTGCGGTAGTCTTGGGCCATGGTTGAACTTTATTTATTGTTTATTTAAGGGGGCACATCAAAGGCAGGGATAAGGTTTCAAGGGCGGAGTCTTGCGGTCAGCAGATTGATTGACGTCTTGGCATGTGACACCCATTTGAGGTGCAGTGTGGGATCTTTGGCAGAGCTTGAGGGGGGAAGTTCACCCGCATTAGGTAGTCACTCCTTGTCGGGGTGCCACCAGGAGTTCTCCATGCCAGACTGATCCTTTCTCGAGGCTACTATGCACAGCAGTCCACACACAGCCACAGGTGGCTTGTGACTCTTGTCTGCCCTTGAAACCTTATACCTGCCTTTGATTTGCCCCCTTAAATAAACCACCGGAGTCATTTTGTCTTTTGTCTAGTTCTAAAACCCATGTGGACTAGCTCTATCAGGGACTTCACTTTCTGTAAATATATTTCTGAGTATCTGTGCTTTGTTATTTACCGATTATTTGGAAATTTAAGTTTTAGGGTGGCTTGGATTATCCTAGGCAGGGGTCCTTCTCAGAGCTTGGCTTTAGGTGTCTGGTGTCTCTGGGGAGTGGCCAGGTGATGCCCAGTGTTGGCCCATGTTTCTCAGGCACCCTAAGGCCTGGTATTTAGAGATTGCAGCCACCAGCAGCTGGCAGTACTGTTGCTGATGGCGGGTGTTTCTGAGCCCCTTGGAATTGCCTCATCCTCGTTTCTAGTAGGCTTGATTTCAAGGAAGCCCTCTCCTGCCATTGAGTGTCTGTAGGAAAGGAGTCATCTGTGCTACTCATAAGCCAGTCTTAAGTTTGAAAACTTTGCTAACATTTAAGTACTTTCAATTTCAGCCAAATGAAGATTAATATTTTGGGAATTTTAAATAAATGTTTTAGTCTTTAAAATAGTTGGCAAATCCTATTTGCAATTTATGTCTTGTAGCTCTTGTTACTATACTGTATTGGTCCCATTTATCTTTTCAGTTTTTGCAATTAGAATTTTACTTGTAAGGTACTTAGGGGTTCCTTCAAAGTCCAAGTAACATTTTCTTTAATTTTTACACAACATATTAAGACCGGAACTTGTCCGTCCAGCAACAACTTTGTATCAACATAACTTGACTGGAATCCTTGAAACTGCTGTGAGAGCCACCAATGCACAGTTTGACAGTCCTGAGATCCTCAGAAGGCTGGACGTGAGGCTGCTGGAGGTGAGCAGCGTGAGTGTGCCGTGCGTCTTCGTGGGTGTGTCCACGTTGGTGAAGGCCCGGCTCCTCTAGGCTCTCCAGGGAACGGCGCCGCCTGTTTCCTGGGGCCTTGACTCCACTTGAGCCTTGATACTGGTGATTACAGGCAAGTCACCTCCCCTGCAAGCCATGCCACCTGGGGAGGGGTGATTCACAGGGCTGGTGGGCCCAGAACAGACGGCACATCATGGACACTTGGTGATGGCGACTGTTCTGCATCAGGTTGGCTTTCAGCATAGGTGGGAGGGAGGAAGTGGCTCTGGCTGGGGCCTGGGTATAAACACAAGCGCGTGTTCGCTGAATGTTGATGAGAATCATGATACGACTCCATTGGTTTTCTTAAAGTACACTTTTTGAGATCTGGAACCTGTCATGGGCCCATGGGCTTTGAATGTACCCTCAGTGTTCATTCCTAACCACCTGTAGAGCAGCTGTGGCGTGCCTTGCCCTCACCTCAATGTTGAGGACGCAGAGGCTGACGTCATCCGCTCCCTGCTCTCTAACAAGAGCCTTGTTACAGAGGGGGCCGGTCAGTGCTATCTCTTGAAGCCTGGGCAGTTCTGCAGCAGGTGCCCTGAGTCTTTCAGTTGTCTGAAAATAACAGATGATAAACCGATGTCTGTTTCTGCTGATAGGTCTCTCCGGGTGACACTGGCTGGGACGTCTTCAGCCTGGATTACCACGTTGATGGACCCATTGCAACTGTGAGTTCATTCTGTGTGCTTGTCTAACAGTCAGCCTGTTTTGAATGCTAAACATTTTATTGTTTAAAATTGGCTTTTTTCTCCGTGAACATGATCCAAGTGATTGTGACGTGTAGGATATGTGCCCATTGAATGAATGAATAATACTTAGGCCAAAATCGTGTGTTAAATCATTAGTAATGAGTGCTGAAATGCTGTATTATTTTAAGATTCCTTAAAAATATCATCCCTTCTATCATAGATTTCAGCAAGTACTTAATAAATGGATTGTTCATTTTGTTCCATTATTCTTAGATTGTAGCAACTAATTTAGAATAATTTGAAAGGAACTATAAAGTATATTTTAGGGGAATTGTATTTTTACTACTTAGATAAAGTTTGATATGGAGTATTCATTTAAACTGATGAGAAAATAGCTGTGCTATTGTTCATAGTGCTTTTACCACATGTGAAGCGCCCTTTCTTTTTAGTTATCCGATCGTAAATGGTTGGCCAGGAGAGTTGTCATCTTAGTTTCTGCAATTAAAATGCCTCTTTCTGGTGCTCATTTTTCTTTATTCAGGCTTGAATAAATCCTCCTTGACCATGATATCTCTTTAAACTTAGTTCAGTCATTTTTATAGCTGAAATATTGAAGAAGGACACTGCATTTCTTTTATTTATTGGGACAAATATTTTGCTGAGAAGTAACAGAGTTAGACTCTAAGCCTTCTGTGGTAGTTCCTGTAGAGCCGGACTCTATGGCTTGTCCCCTCCTCTCCTGGGGTGAATCACACTGCCCATGAGGATAATGTCTCTGAAGCTGCACCAGACTGGGCAGACTTGGCACCAACCACTTGTGTGTTGCTGGCCGTGAGCTGGGACTACCGGCATAGGTGCCTTACTTCTGCCTCGCCTGTCTGTCCTTCGCCAGAGGAAGCTGCCTTGGCTTGAACACCCTTAAGTTCACTCTTTTGTCATGTGCAGTTAGGTTTTTTCCTTTGACTTACATCCTAAACATGCTTGATATTTTAACACTGTAAGTGAGAGACTGTCATAGTATCTGCTTTGTGGGCTCATGTACGTTTCCTGCCATTTTCATAGCCTACAACAGGCTCCACAGTGGGGCGGGGGTGGGGTTCCGTGGTAGAGTGCTTTGTCCAACCCGCATGAGGGGCCAGGATACCCTAGGAAGGGAAATTGCGTTTTCACAAGCTCCAGGTGCCTTCGCAAATCGGCAACCCGAACACAGTTTAGATAAGTGATGCCTTAGCTGTTTGTAACATTGCACGTCTTACATGGAGTGTGCTGTGCACTCACAAGTGTGATGGCATGTTGTTAAAATCAGAGGTTTTCAAGCTCTAGCAGAAGGACAGAAGAAAAGCACGTTATGCCATAGTGTCATTTAAAATGCATCTAGGACATTCCTGTGACAAACAAGTGTCGATTTGTAGGCTAGCCAGTGGTGGTCACGGCAGCAGCCTGGACTGCCCGATGGAGAAAGGGGAAGGGAGGGTCCTATCGGTGGCAGCCCTGCCAGGGACCCAGTGTGCGGATGCCCTCCTGCTCGTCTGGCCTTTGCCATGTGGTAGCATGTTTTCAGCTAAATTGCCATGACTGTAGCCATATTGGACTGCTGTAAGTATTCAACTGTTATTAGAAACTGAAATAATGTTTATCAGAGTAAACTGTATGCAGTTATGTTATGTATAAAGGTTACTAGGAAACATATTAAAAATAGTCTTTAGAGTCAAGATTTTGAAGAGAATCGTTTTCTGTTAAACTCACATATTATTCTATTTATTTTCTGTTCTCAATTCAAGTTGGCATTTTTATACAGAATTTAATTATACATATGTCTGGTAATAATCATGAAATTATATCTAATAACAGCAATTTGGAAATTTTTGGATAGATTTTATTTGGGAAAGTAATTTATGAAATTCAAGATTCAAGTTACTTTCCCCCTAAATTAGCCAAATATAGTTCACTAAACATGTAATAAAATACTCTGGCTCCCCTTATTTTGAATGAACCCTAAGCTCTTTGTGTGACGTTGGGTTTTATTTCATCTGGGAACTCAGAGTGCCCCGTGGCTGAGGGGTTGGTGGTGAGGCAGGGGCAGTGAGGGCCTGGTTCGGCCTCAGTGCTGCCTTCTCAAGTTTCAGAGCTTTTTTACTATTTATCTGAAATCGATTCTGTAAGAGGAGGTGAACTGAAAGGCAGTGTGACAGTAGAACTACAGTGTTGTGGTGCTTTCTTCATGTAAATTCAGTGCAATGTGAGCACCTTTTTTTTAGTTAATATCCCAAAGAAGTGGTGATTAAATTGCATTTTAAAAATGCAGTTTAAAATGTGTTAAAGGAATGATATGTTGTGCTTCATTTGTGTACGGTGTGTCCAGATGCATTCTATTGACATGTATAACTAATTAGAACAAATTAAAAAAACCCTAAAAAGTGTTAAAGGGCCCTTGCCCTACAGTATGTATTTATATGGTGAAGAATCCTTCATTTACCACAATACTTAATCCAGTCACCTTAATTTCTGTAATTGCAAGACTGTTGATAGCATGGGAAGCACTTCGAAGCAGATGGTCTGGTTTTGGAGTACTTTCAGTGCAAGTTTAGTCACCTCTGCTCCAGCGCTTGGTCCTCCATCAGTGTGGGCTCCTGCCAGGTACTGGCACAGAGATGCATACGGGAGAATAAATAGGTAGTCCTTAGTCACATACTAAAACTAAGGACATCCAGCAGTATGTTCTAGGTGTCTGAGGAAGAGGGACATGGGCGCCTCGGGGGAAACGACGTGTACCTTTGTCCTGGAGGATGGGTAGAGCTTGGGCAGGTGAGATGGGTAGAATAGGGCCACATACGTCACATTTAGATAAAGAAGAGGAGGTGGACAAAGCCAGGTCCAGGGATGCAGGAGCTGCCTTCAGAGCGAAGGCTGGCCTTGTCCCAGTGGCAGAAGTGGCCTGCCGAGCCGGCCATGTCCAAGTGTCTGTGGTGCAGGGTGGACACTGAGGCAGGCCACACTTCCTCTGCCCTTCCTCTGATGGAGGTGGACATGTGCTCCACTGCAGCACTCATGTTTCTATCAGAAATATGTGGCTGTGGTCTGCAGAAGACCCTGTGCCACAAGTGCATAGCTCATCCTTGGTCTAAGAAGTGACTCGTGGGTTGAGTCACTGAGGGGCTGCAGGGAAGGCCTTGTATGGTCCCCACCAGGGGCTGGTGGTGTTAATTCAGTGCTTGAGAAGCCACATTTGTGGGCATCAAATGGGGTATTCAAGTGATGAGTAGATCCATGAAGATGGCTGAGGGACCCTTCAGAGTGGGGATTCCGCTAGGCCTCCCTTCCACCTTGGAGCTGCTGTTAGGTCCCTCCAGGAGCTGGGAGTCATAGCTAAGCATCCACACTTAGGAGCCATGTCACCTTGAGCCCCAGTTTTCCCTGCTGCAGGGTGGGCCTAAAAACGCCTGCCTTCTGCTGTTGGGCTGGGCCTGGCCTGTGAATCACCAGTGTCATGGCGGTTGTGGTGCTTTCCTTGAAATGCACTGATTCAGTGACTTGCGCATCTCCTGGAGTTTGCTGGCATTGACTGAGTGTTTGTTGGCTTTTCGAGGCTGGGACCTAGGTTGGTTGCAGTCTGCAGCGAGTGCCGTGACCCTGTCTCCGCTGTCCCCCAGGTGTTCACACGAGAGTGCATGAGCCACTACCTGAGAGCGTTCAACTTCCTCTGGAGGGCCAAGCGCATGGAGTACATCCTCACCGACATCCGGAAGGGACACATGTGCAACGCCAAGCTCCTGAGGAGCATGCCGGGTAGGCCCTGTGGGGTGGCCGTGTGGGCATGTGCCTGCCCCCAGCCGCACTGGCTGGTTTCTAGCGACTCCCTGGAAACGGAAGTCTATCTGAAGTAGTCCAGCTGGAGGGAGCCACTGTTGTCTTCTGTAGTGTTTAGTGAAAGGGCTTGCTCGTAACATGAGTTATCTGGACATCGGTACAAGTGAGCAAAGTGAGTCATACTGTTACTTTTTCAGATCATAAAAAATATATTTTTAAAAAATCACATTTGTTTTTCACTGGTTGTCAACTGTTACCTAGTTAAACACTTTAACTATATTGGTAGGCAATTTTGTGGGGGGTTGGGGTGGCATTGAACCCACTCTGCCACTGAGCCACATCCCTAGCTCTTTAATTTTTTATTTTGAGACAGACTCTTATTAAGTTGCTGAGGCTGGTCTGGAACTTTAAATGCTCCTGACTCAGTCTCCCAAGTAGCTGGGATCACATGTGTGCTCCACTGTGCCGAAACAGTGGCGGTTTTAAGGAAGGAAAGCCATTTAACAAGTCATTGACTCATTTAAAATTCACTTAGTGTCTTATTTATGTTCTCTTGTGGAATTTATTTAGTGCATTATTTTTCCATAAACCAGGACATGGAAACGTTTACAGTAAAAATGTGAGGCGTCAGTCACGTTGTTCTACTGTCACGAACCTTGAATGACTTCAGTTGCTAATACTTGGGAAATCTTTGCTTTGAAATTGATTTGGCAAGAACCTTTGAGAAATTATTTTAGTCAATACATAGCTCTAAAGAAAACTAAAGTGAATAAGCCCTTGGGTTGGTGAAAAGCAGTTATTAAAAATAAAAAAGGAATTGAAGATCTCTGTGTCTCTGCTAGACTCTAGAGTCCCAGACAGTGACGCCTGGGCAGGCTGCAGGCAGTGGGGACCTGCCTGGCCAGGGTCTCCCTGGGCGCCTGAAGCTGCTGTGGAGAAGGGCTCGTGGTGGGTCCTCAGAGTAGCTGAGGAGGGGTAGGGTTCCAGAGATGGCCCTGGACACAGGCCCTGCTTGTGTCCTGTGTGCCCGGGGTGCAGTTGCACCGGGCAGTTCCACAGGTAGCACTGCCACTGTTGTCACTGGCTCTTCCTGCGTTCCCTGCAGTTCTGCTGTCCTCCTCCTCCACTCTTGTCAGTAGGATCAAGGAGTGGGTTCTCGGCCGCCCACCGACCAGCCAGCGTCTTGCTGTGGATTTAGATGGACCCAGTCGTGCAGAGACTTTGTCCCTGTGCTGCTCTTCCTCATCGGTATCAGCATCTTGGGTGCTTTGGTTTTAGGGATCTGAGCTCCAGAGCACCTTTAGGTGCTGATGGTGGGGATCGCATTTCTCTCACCATTGCAAATAAGCAACAGTGTTTCTTTTTTTTTTTTAATATTTACTTTTTAGTTTTAGGTGGACACAATATCTTTATTTTATTTTTGTGTGGTGCTGAGGATCAGACCCAGTGCCTCATGCGTGCTAGGCGAGCGCTCTACCACTGAGCTGCAACCCCAGACCCATGTTTTGTTCTTCACTAGGAGACAAGTAATAAATCTTCTGGTCTATTTTCTCTGTTTGTGAATATGCACCTTTGGTGTCTGTCCAGTTAGTAACTGTACGTGAGTGGGTCTTACCGTGATGAGCTTGACTCTCGCTTCTCTCCCCGGTCCTTTCCTTTTGTCAGTGAACTTGTTCCAGAACCTTCTGACCACAGCATTGTGTTGCCTTGGCTGCACTGTTGTTTTATCACTGCAGACTCACAGGCGTGGGCTCCAGCTCCACTTCTGTGTACTGCACTTGGCACTTGTGTTCCAGCCGTAGGGCACACGGTCAGGCTGCTTTTGGGAGCCTTGTGCCGTTTAGGTCACATCCCCACGAGCCCAGCTCTCACTCTGTGGAAGGTGTTGGTATTGCTGTTTCTGCTGACGATTGGATCTTACATCCAAGTGAATTAGGTTTTTGATAAGTCAAAGTTCATTTTAAATGTTTTATGCTTTTAAAATTACTGATGAGGGTGAACACTTTGTTTTTTCCTATTTGTCTTTCTTTTTCCAAAAAATTATTTATTGCCCATGTTCCTTTTGGTGGGGATTAATGTGCTTATGTTAGATTTTGAGAAGTATTTTGAAGTTGGTTGTGGCAAGCGTCTTCATGAGCAGAAGTTAACTGTGGTGATATAGATGTGTCTGTCCCCTGCAACCCTGAGGCTAGTGCACATGGGGCCCCTGAGGTGCTCCTGAGAGCTGCCCGTGGTGGTCCTCAGTGTGGAGGGTGCCGTTGCTCCAGCGAGCGTTCAGTGGCTCTCGTCAGGACCCGGCCCGGCCCCATCATGCCAGTGGGCAGTTCAGGGGAAGTCCATCTGCTCCGGACTGGAGGCTTTTTTTTTGTTTTTGTTTTTTGGGCAAAGAGAATAAACCAGGGCAATTTACCACTGAGACACATCCCAGCCCTTTTTTGGTTTTTATCTTGAGACCGGGCCTCACTCGGTTGCCATGCTGGCCTGGAACTTGCCATCCTCCTGCCTCAGTCTCTCGAGTGACTCCCTGGAATTACAGATGTGTGTCATTGCACCTGGCAGGGACAGGGTGTGGTGCTCTGCCAGGAGGACCGTACCTGTTTCAATTTAAGATTGTTTTCCCTGGATGGCAGAATTTTTATCTATTTGCCCTTCAGCTGTATAACACAGTTCCACTAAATGGTTTGTTAGTTTCAGCTAACCCAAAAGATACTGCTACCTGTGGCACTGAATTCGGGTTGTGTCGTGTTTCGTGAGGAAGTGAACAGTGTAGGCAAGTGAGCTCGTGGTCTCCCCCAGCCCTCTGTGTGGGGAAGGAGAGCTGAGGCTCCATCTGCTCAGAAGAGCATGTCGAAGTGGTCACTGCCGGTCCTGTTGAAATGGCATGCCCCTGATCTCGAGTAGGAGGGGAAGACTTCGTTCCTCCTCGTGAAGAGTTGTAAGGGCTGTAGGTGAGACTGATTCAGAAATTACCTCTCCCTTTATTTTGAGATGTATTTGTTCATACAAAAACAAAAAGGTTAGACACTGAATATTTAGAGAACCGTAGAGAATGTCAGTTCTCTACAATGGATAGGGATGGGGAGAACATTGGTTAGTGGGAGTTTATTGCTTACTTTTTAATATTAAGATAATATAATCTTACTAGCTTAGAAGAAATGTAAATGATAATTGTTTTAAAATCAGTTTGTGTACTAAACACCAGTTTATCCCCTGCGTGAGTGATAATAAATGGTATTGACTTCTCCTCGTTTCCAATGCCGCTGAGTGAGACAGTGCTCCCAGCACAGATGGTGTCGGGGCGTGGCCGTGTCTGACTGCTGACCTTGTCTGCCACGGAGGGAGCCCTTCGAGGGCAGCTCTGAACACTGGCCAGGTTCAGTTCTCCCAGCAGAGCCCACAGAGGTCTCCTAGTCAACGACTGTTTCCACTGGGGACGGGAAGTGGCTGGTTCAAGAGCATGTAGTTACACGTCTGTGCTCAGGATTGACTCTCAAGTTTGCTTGAAAATAAAAATGGACATCTTAGCAAGAAAATGAATAAAACATTAGTTAATATGAATGGAAGCTGTGAGAAGTGGCCTGATGTTTGGATTGAATGTTGGATATGAGATGCTTTTAGAATTGTCCGGAGGGCTAGGCTGGGCATCTGGTAGTGGCTCTGGATGTTCGGGAAGGGTGGCCCTTGTGGGGCTCTGCCCTGTTCTCCCAGGTGCTTGTCCCAGGGTGCTGTCTCTCCCAAGCTGCAGGCCTCGCTGCCTGTACAGGGCTTCCAGAGATGCCCTGGGCCTCAGAGGGCTGCAGTGCAAGGTGGGTGTCTCAAGCCGGCACCTGCATCTCATGCGAGTTCAGCTGGGCGGAGGAACCGAGCCTCACCTGATGCTGAACGCGGAGGTCCTGGAAGGTGCAGCACACGTTGGTCTAGTCTCTGTGCCTCAGGAGGCCAGAGTGTGTGCCCGGCCACTGTCCTGCTGTGCCTCTTCCTCACCTGCACCGCTGCCGGCTCTCCTCACACTTCCCCTCTGGGGTGCACCTGTGCTGCACAGCAAGTGGCAGCAAGGGTGACAGTGGCCACAGTGAAGCGCTGTTCTCTCTACAAACGACGGTGTTGAAAGCTCAGGGCGAGCCAAGGCCTTGCTGCTTGGGTGACTTTTTTGGTTCACCTTTTACTTATTTTTATCACTTGTAAGGTGGCATTATTTTCAGGTCACGATTTCTCAGAACGCGTCTGAAGTGCCTTCTGCTGCCCATGAGGTGGTGCATGGCCTCGCCGCAGCTGTTCCTGGTGCGTCTTGTGGACTGAAGCAGCCAGCCACAGTTGCAGCCCCTTGCCCCTGAGAAGAGTGGCTGTGGGCGGGTTGAGTGGACAGTACTGTGTTTGCACAGGAAGCCTGAGCTTAGCCAAGCAGTAACCACTGTGGGAAGAGGGGCCAAAATTCCTCTGTTCCATGTTGAAAGCAAAGGACTATGCACAAGTGGCAGGTGCTAGTGTTGGGGAGGGGGTCGTCAGGTGCTCTGGTGTCCAGTGCCACGGCCCGGTCGTCAGCACCATCTAGTCTGCATGGTGGCTGCTTTCTTTCTGAAGACACTAATAGTGATGCGTCTCATGCAGATAGCACTGAGCCTTGGTGAGACGGGGTCTGAAAAGATGAGTGAAAGTTTTCCTCTTTGAAATTTCTTTGCATTTGTTTTTGTGTGTGAATGAGTCCTCATATTTGTAATTACATAAACCTGGACTGCTTCTGTGTGCCTGACTCAGGCTTAGGCACCAGCACCAACCTGGGGCTGCCCGGCCCTGGCCGGCCATCTCCCCGCAACCTGCCAGTTCCCTGGCTGTGTGGCCTCACTCCCCCTGGGAGTGGGTGATGATAACATGACTGCCTAGCCTTCTCAGGATCACGTCTGCACACGAGTCCTTGGGACAGTACCTGGCTGTGAGAGCGTGTGCAGCTGTCACTGTGGTGCTTGCCTGTGACGCAGGGG